CATGAATCACAAAACACAATTATACGCGCTCACAGACTTCGTTGCCGCAGACGCACCGCTTTTTCGCGAGTTCAATTCCTTCGTTTGGCAAATAAATTTGGCTTTTATTTTTATACTACTGCCACAGTTACTGTCACATTTTAGTTGTTTTTTTTTTGTTTTTTTTTTTAACACCAACACGCAAGCGATACTTATTGTGTTAATTAGCAGATAATGAAGTGGAAATTTTATATATATATATATATATATACATGGGATTTTTTTTCAACATGTAATTTCAGAATTAGCCCACATCGACGATCTTTATAGATAAACTTTCAGCACTTCAGGCTCGAAAGGGACATCCTTGCATCATATATTCGCGCGAAACAGCGAGTGTGTGTCACGAGCACACTCGTTTCGAGAGGAGGAAGAAAGAGATCGACATTAATGTGTGTGCTGTAGCATAGCTTTGTTATTGGTTCCGTTGTTTAATCGTGATTAAAACGATGTACATATTACGTGTTTTCTTCGAGATCTTATCGGAGACGTTACATGTTGTATTCTTGCGCAATTTTTATGTCTTGTGTCGATTATATCATGCGTTAATGTGAACGAGTGATTTTTAACACTAATCAGACACTAACTCGCTAGCTAACTTAGAATTTCCTAATATAAGAGTTCGGCCCTTTATTCCGTTGCATACGTGCGAGTTACTAGTATAAGAAGATTATAAGCGCAGACTCGAGATGAAAGGTGAATCAAGCAAATGCGACATAAATATTTCGAAGATCTGATCGTCGGGGACGCAAAGAGGGAAAGAATGTAATATTGATAAAACTTATACTCAACGATATGATTATCGAACACTATCGAGGAAGCGTGAACGTAGAGTTCGATGAATGGGCTAGATAGACGTGTCGGCACAAAAGTAGTACTCGTTAGGTTAGGTTAGGTTAGGTTAGGCGTAGGTGTGTAGGACCTGTATAGGGTGTAGGTAGCCTGCCCACTCTATCCCTTTTATCTGGAACGTGTTTCGTTTCCAATACATCACTTGTTTCTCGGAAGCGTGGTGCGCATAGCGGTACAGCACTGATAATCGTGTCTCTATGAGCAGCCTTGCGCAAAAAACACCCTTTCCGGTAGTCGAAGTCTAATTCCGTTCATAAATGCAAATATATCCCGTCACTCTCATTTAATACTTTCCTCAGAAAACGAAATAGGAAAGAACGTATAATATTGATGTGTAACCAATTTTGTGACGATTGACTATTCGACGCGACGTCAGAAACAAAATTGATCGACCGAACAAGCGTAATTACTTGTAAAAAAAAACAAAAAAAAACAAAAAAAAAGCAAAACTATTTGCCTAACCCTGTCACACAAGTGTATTGATGCGAGTGTTGTGTTCTGTTCTATTACGTGGTGTAGGCCATATTCGCCAGTTGTATCCCTGAGATAATTGACCTGATCGGGACGCGAAACAAGTACGGCGGCACTTTGAAGAACGAGCGAGGTCGCAGGTGAGAGACACAACCAACCAATTAGCTTCCCCGATTTGAACTCCATTCCTCTCCAGTTCCCAACTACCGCCTTGTCCATGATATTTCTCTCATATACGAAAGATTATGTAAACCTTTGCTCTCCTCTCAGTATTCCTCACACTCCGACACACACACGCCAAACACTTTCTCTGACACGTAAACACACGCGTAATATACACGATATCACGGTCTTTTCCGGATCCTGTGCTCCCGTTAATGCAATCTCCTCTAATATATATATATACATATATATAGAAGCACGAACATTAATTCCCCGTCAAGACACATCTGATACATCCGAGAACAATCCTTTCTTATAAATCTATATATATTTAGAGATCAGTGTGTTAGCATCGCAAAACTGCAGTTCCGTACCAGCTCATTGCACTAGTTGTCAGCCGGCCTTAGTGCAGCCGCCGTCCCTGTCCAGAAAAACATTCCTTGAACACCACCGACCTAACTAAGCAAAACCCTTCGAACGAACCAACCAACCTGTGTCTGCCAATCACAAGACCTCACCCTTACTACCACCCAGCAACTGGTGTTAGCTTGTTTGTTCACACCGACCGCACTTGGGATAAATACGGCTTATCGCGCACGCATAAAGCGTGAAACGCACATAACGAACGGAAAGTTTACGGATATGTAACGAGGAGAATTCCTTCGATCTTGAAATGCGCTGTTTATTTGCTTAAATTTGCATTTCACGTGATAAATTGCGCGAATCTAACTGGAATCTCTCGAGGAGACGGTGTGTCGTATACGGAATGACTCGCGCTTGTTAATTAATTAAACGGCACGATCGCTCGCGTGGTGTCGACCGTGAACCGCGACTCGATCTCTCGGAGGAATCTAAATTGAGGCAAAGTGAAGATAACGCAATTTGCTGTAAAACGAAATGTGCGCGACAACACACGCAACCTGTAACGCTAACAATCGACGCGTCGCGAAACTAACAAGCCGCAGCCTGAAAATTCGCGTAACGAGTCTTGAGTTAATTACTCAGATAGAGTAGACGTCGAAATGTCACGGTCGAGCGGGTCTATTATCGTTAAACGAACCGCGTGCTTTTGATATTAGCCCGAGCTGTATTTCTCTCCGAGTGCAAGGGGTTAACGCCCAGCATGTACCCTGCATTATCCGAACATATATTGAATGCATATATTATATATATATACATATACATATGTAACCCTACTGTTGTTACCACTTCAGTGTAATAACCTTGGTGTTTTAGACAGTATTAATGATCGTTTTTTTTTTTGGTAAATACTCCAAAAGAGGGGGAAAAGGAAGAGGGGATACTTTTTTCTCTCAAATGACACGTATATGTTACCGAGATGGGATCGTTACATAGCGCTCAGAGAGGTTCTGAGATTGAGGACGTCCTCGGTGGGCTGATAACGACGTAGAGATCAGGGACGACCAGATCCTTTCTTTTTAATTGTCATTCACAACTAGCGCAAATGTGGCTGTGATCTTTCGTATATAATAATAAGAAGGAGCCTACACGACAACAACACTCTGCTGACCGCATCGTCGTTCGGAAGCACCTTTTTCGCCCGAAATTGCTACTTTAGATGAAGAACTACACACACACGACAGTAAATCCAGAAGAGAGTTCTGGTGATCACGACGATAAATCTTTCGCGTATATTACCGTTGTCAGTTTTTTTTTGGTTGCGTTTTATGTGGCGCGCGCGCGCGTATCGTCCCGTTACTGGCGCGCGCTGTTTTCATCAGTGTTCCATTAATACTGGTCAGTTTATCCAAACTTTTAATGGCGGCTGTCTCATCAGATACTGGCTTAATGAAACCCGATCAATCTGACCGAAAGGCATTGTGCGGACGCTAATAAATCAAACGAGTACATCGAGCGCGCACGCCAACAATCGGGAACAACCATATAGCAGACACGCTTGTGAATGATTTTCCGGTGAAAAAAAAAAAAAAACAAAGAAAGAAAAATATAAAATTCGCTTTTTTTCCCTCACTGTGCGAACCCGCGCGTACGTACAACACGAGCAATTAATTAATTTTCGCGACACGCGTTTTTTGTGCGTCATCGATCTGGCGATTCTTGCAGCGGTTAGCACACACGCGCAAACGACTTCTTGTGACAAAGAAGTCATGACACTCCCACTCACGACACACACTCACACATCTCGTCACGTACACACGGCGCGTCCGGTTTTCTGTATGTTAGAGTGGAAAGTAATCTTTATAATTCTGGACACTGTGGGCTTGTATGACGAATTCAGCGGCAACGCGGCGACCATGAAAAAGGCCTTATCACGTTGACTGCGATAAAGCCGGGATCGCGAGCGGAGAAGCTGCTGAATTCACGACGAGGTCCGATAATGTATAGAGACACCGACAACGAAAGTAGAAAAACATATTTGAGCATGGAATGATCACGGTCGAACTCTCTCTCTTTCTCTGCTGTCTTTCCTCTGCAAGTCTTTTGCTGATTACTATCTTTTTTTTTCGAGGCACCATACTCGAGTAGTCTTTTTAGTAATCTGTTATGCGGCACTCTAGGAAAGTAGGACTTATGTCACTATCGATGCGCACACGGCACAGTAGAGATTACACTGTTGTAGAAGAGGGTCTTGTGCTTGACATTGTTTATTGCAACGATTAACACACGAATGGGCCTGTACATTACTCATGCGTATGCGATCTAACACTTGTCAGAATTAATCAATCTGTATATGTTATATATACCTAGTCACCAACTCTCTTACAATATATATATATATAGGTACGTGTGTCTGTGTGTGTGTATAGTCGCTCACACGTTAGTTGGTTAAGTTGAATCACCTCCAATCCCCCCTAGCGCGATCCTGGTAAGTTCTTTTAGCCTTACTGAATTATTATTATTACTTACTTCGATAGAAGCGTCATTCAAGTGCCGAACTTTTTCTTTTATTTTTTATTAACTTTATAAACTAGATCATTGGATCAAATTCTTGAAGAGTATCAACGTTCGATTTGTTTTATTTTTTTTTTTTAATATTTCTTTCAATTAAAATGTCTAAACAAAGTGGGTCAAACTTGATCTTATTGTGGCAGCAGACTAAAATGGCACGAAGAAAAAAAAAAAAAAAAAAAAAAAAAAAAAAAGATATTCGGAAAAAAAAAAAAAAAAAAAAAAAAAAAAAAAAAAAAAGAAAACGATTCCCGTCGGCGTTTGTTCTTCTCTCTTCGCGCTGTTCTTGTCTGTAACAATTTCTCTTTGTCTCGCGTCATCGAGATGCGTGTAAAAACTGAAATAAAAATTGCAGCGGGAAAGAGAAGAACTCAAATCGGGTCTGTAGTTGATATATACATATATATATTACTTACATAGAACGTGTACGTGGTAGTTTGCTTGAGAGAGTTTTCCCTTTCTTTTTCTATATTTATTTATCAATATATCGCACACATACGCGTTTCTCGTCAGGACGGATTCTAATCTGTTCGTTGTGTTGGCAGACATATTGTTGTGTGCGGCCACATCACCTACGAATCGGTCTCGCACTTTCTCAAGGATTTCCTGCACGAGGATCGCGAGGACGTCGACGTAGAGGTTGTCTTCTTACATAGGTATGACGGTTTTATAAACATTTTTTTTTTTATCTTTGTCGCTATCTCCAGCGCTGTTTAACTCTTTCGACACATTACGCGCGTGTCGTGGATCGATAACGTAATGGTTCCGAAAGGGTTATCAACTTAGCGCGAAACATTATTTTTATCTTATTAAGTTTTCTTTTCATTAATCGTTTTGCTTTGTTTAATTACGAGCAGCAATTGCTCGGATTTTAATTTACATATTGGGAGTACAAATTAGTTTAGTTCGTTTTTTTGTGTTTAAAAATGCATTTATTTTAAAACAAAATGAATGAACAGATTAATTAAAGTATTGTCCATCGCTGGCTACTACTTTTTCCCATATCTCAGGCAATTTTCGAATTCCATCTTGAAAAAATGACTCGTCTTTGGAGGCAATTCATGTTTGGAGCCAATTTTCGATTTCTGCGAAAGAAGTGAACCGGTGACCTGCCAAATCGTGCTGCATCCTTCGGAACAACCAGTAATCAGAAGGAGCAATGTCCGGAGAATACGGCGGGTGCGGTAAAACATCCCATTTGAGCATTTCCAAATATTTTTTTACGACTTTTGCGACATGAGACCGAACGTTGTCATGAAGAAGAATAACTTTATCATGTCTTTGCTCGTATTCCGGCCGTTTTTTTCGCAATGCACGGCTCAAACGAATCAATTGTAGCCGATACAGATCGTCTGTAATGGAATCACCAGGTTTCAGCAGCTCATAGTAAACAACATCCTTTCGGTCCCACCAAATACAGAGCATGATCTTCGAACCATGAATGTTCGGCTTTGGTGTTGATGTTAAGGTCGATGGCAACGATTGACTTAGCGTAGTAGTTTTTTTTCTTGGGGTTGTCATAGAATATCTTCTCATCTCCAGTCACAATCCGATGCAAAAAACCTTTTCTTTGTTGCCTTTGAATCAGCAACTCGCAAGTGAAAAATCGCCTTTCAACGTCTCTCGGTTTCAGTTCATAAGGCATCCAATTTCCTTGTTTTTAAATCATTCTCATGGCTCTCAATCGTACAGAAAGAGCTTGTTGAGTTACTCCTAATGATTCTGCAAGCTCCTCTTGCGTTTGACTCTGATCTTCTTCGAGTAATGCCTTCAAGTCTTTGTCTTCGAATTGTTTTGACTGTCCAGAGCGAGGCTTGTCTTCAACGCTGAAATCTCCATCCTTGAAACGTCAAAACCATTCCCTACATGATTTATCAGTTGGAGCAGTATCGCCATAAACTTCGACAAGCATTCGATGGGCTTCAGCTGCACTTTTTTTCCAATTAAAGCAGAAAATTAAAACCTCCCGCAAATGCTGCTTGGTTAACACAAAATTTGACATTTCAAACACAGTAAAAATCAAGGCTTTTATATGAAACACAAAAAAAGCGATATAAACTGAATATTATTAGCAGATGTCTAACCTCCTCTCTAAAACCGCCAAAATCAGCTGTCACTATGAACCATTCACAACAGGTGCCATCTTTTAGAAACAGACCGAACTAATTTGTAGTTCCCAATACATGTATGTACACAATACTCTGCGCATTTTGTTTTACAGAAAATATATGTTTGGACGTTTTTTATTTCAATATTTAATTTTGTTTATTCTTATCAATGCTTTATACAATTAAATAACATTTTCTTTTGTTTCTGTTGGCGACTCTGCGGTGAGTATGCACACATACGTTGCCTCTCGACGATCGAGAGATTTTTTGTCGCCAAACGACTCAAAGCAATCAGATTCCGTCCACTTCGCATCTTATCGACTATGTACTTCGTTATTGGCCACGTTTTGAATTGCAAACAGAGGTTTTCCATCGGATCGATGCGCGGATCGATGTGTGTATCGTGAGCGCATGAAAGCCGCGCGTACCGCGGCCACTCGTCGTCGATCGGATCTGATCGCTGTATGGTCGTACGGGATTGGTTTATGTTTTCAGGAAAGAGCCGGATCTCGAATTGGAGGGTCTGTTGAAGAGGCATTACACGACCGTGGAGTTTTTTCAGGGCACCATGATGAACGCGGTGGATCTGGAGCGCGTCAAGGTATCCCCCCCTCTCCTCGAGGAAACATCCTAAAACAACCTACTACACGAAAACCTCCAACCCCTCATCAATGTCCTTCACGTGGCCGCTCGCGCGCTTCTTGTTTCCTTGCAGTTCTTTAGGTTATTACACGGTTATTCGCCTGGGTATAACACGCGTCCTGATGGCAGATCGATCGATACTTACTTAATATTATCCGTACTTATATATCTTGTTATCATTATGTCACGTGCAGCATCTCATATCTGATTATATAACCCGGCCAGCGTATTTATTTTTTCCTTTTATTATAGAATCTAGTGATTTATCCGGCGATTACATGCGTACGCCTGCGGATCATACCAATGCTCGCTCTCTATACGTTCTCTTTAGATTTACTCTCTTTCGATTTTTTATCTTTTTCGCTATATCTTTTCTCTCTCTCTCTCTCACGAAAAACTATATCAAACCGTCTGGTGCGGCGCGATTAAGTGTATCGGAGATTCGGTCTCGTTGGCGCACATATTCGCGGTTTTTCGCGTGCTCGACCCGACCTGCGAGCACTTTGTTGTGCTCGCTCACGTAAAGTAGCGCTTTTCGAATACACGTTGTGAATACAAAACAACGCGGAGCACCGGACGGCAGAAGATATATATACATACATGTATACGTACACGTATATAAAAGCTATATGTATATATATCTTATATATTTACGTAGAAAGCAACTCTGCCTACGACTGCATGGTATGCTGTATTAAGCGCTATGGAGCCGACTCAGCGTGCAGTAGACTCTCTTACTTAGCGACATCTTGGCGTACTCGTTTCCTTTGAAAGTGGGCGCGTACAATTCGACTAATTCGGTATGTGTTCATCAATGAGAGAATAGAACACCAAAGAAACACGTAATTTTCTCTCTCTCTCTCTCTCAAAGGTCACGAGCTCGCTTACAAATTTCTATATTATATTCATTTATATATTTAAAATGAAATCATCGCCGATCTGCGTCGGCCTGCTATTCGACGAGATATTCTCTCGCAAAAAAGGCGTCCGTCAACATCTGAGGTGAATTTGTTATTTAAAGAGAAATCGTATACTCTTTTGTTCGAATCCGTTCAGGAAACCGCCTGATCTCGAACTGGAGGGACTGTTCAAGCGGCACTTCACCACCGTGGAGTTCTTTCAGGGAACCATCATGAACCCGATTGACCTACAGCGGGTTAAGGTGAGTCTCTCTGCTACTACGATCGAACCAATCTGCGCCCTTTTCCTGATATACAAGATATACGCATTAAAATCCATACATATACGATATATATATCCGACACATATATATAACAGCCACATTACCTACTGTAAGCGCCACGTATACTATATTCGATATTTTACTATATTCTTCTCTATGTTTGACCTCGTGTGATTTATCCGATTGTCGTATCTATTTTTGTGCACACGGTACCAGCGTTTTATTGCCGTGCATTTATCACTTCACAAATGCCGTTTCTCAAATAGAATCGATAACATAATCTTAAGAAGTAATATATTCTTTGAATTATATAGATTTTTTAATGATATATATATAATATATATTTTAAAAAGATAGACCTATATATATATATATATATATATATAAAATTTTTGTAAAATTTCAGTTTGTTTTTTGTTTCTCGTATTTTCAAGTTTGTTTGTTTTTTTTTTTTTTTTATGTAAATTCTACCGGAAAAGCGTTTTTAGTTGCAATCGCAAATATTTTCATACGCGTGCCGAACAAATTCGCTTTGGCGTGCGTCAATTCGCAAAGGATTCGATGTGAGATATTCGCAATGGCTGAGCGGGCTACTACGATGATTCCCTCACGTAGTTCCGTCGCGAAAAATCGATGTCGCGAAAATAGCGCGACGTCACGGCTGTTACCGTGGGCGATCGGTAGACGTTCGGGAACTGACGTTGTGCCGATAACAAACGCTATTGTCCTAGGATGTTTGTTGCTTGTGTTTCCCTTTATGCTCGTACACATTGAACGATGTTACACGATATATACCCCCCTATCGGCGGCGTGCGTCTCCATGTGCTGTCGTGTTCGCTTTCGTGTCTCGTCAATTTGCAACGGCTGGTTTCGGATCCGATCAATTATCCGCGAGCTTTTTAAAAGAATCGTAAATGTGCAGGCCTCAAGAGGCCTCCGAGGCCAGAACTTGATATTCGACTCCCGGTAAAATCGCTTCGGTCTAATAGCCTTTCTGTCTGTTTATCTATCTTTTTTTTTTCTGTCATCTCCTCTTTCAGTCTATACATACTCGGCAGGGAAATCCGAGAGAAAAGCAATGTCAATTTCTTCAACACAACACAACACAACACACACACACACACACACACACACACATACACGGTAGAGACACGTAATATCTGTGCACATATTATCTATATTTACATGTTTTTTTTTGTCATACGTTACATACAGTGTCTCATACTTGATATAACCGCTATCACACAGTACACACACACACACACACACACACACACACACACACGAAACATTTATGCGTAGTCATTTACACGTGGAAAGCTCCCTTAAGGTTGTGTGTTGCACATCCACCGGATAGATCCATGCCTGCTGTCAACCCTGAGAGTGGGTAAGTGGCCGTGTATATCTCGTGGTGGGAGACTGGTTTAGCGGACGATTACTTTCCAGACGATATAGTTTATTGTTAGAGAACTTAGTATCCGATGAGTGTGGAAATAAGTCGATCGTGTGTGCGGGGTGTCGGGTTAAGTGTATTGATCCTGCACTGACTGAAGACGAGACGGTACGTTTTCTCTTTGGCTGTTTGTTTCTCGTAGTTTTTTTTTTTTTTATTATACACAACGGAATTTAATGTAAAATTCTTGTTAGCCGGTAAATTAGCATGTAGATAGCTTGTAGATATATATTTCTCCATTGTTCTTCCCCTGATTGTATAGAAGTAGATCAACCGACCTCCACCACCCCCGACGATCGATAAGGTTTGCACATATATACACATTCAAGGAATGCGTCGTAGAGGCTCGCTTTCGTATTACGATCATCGTTTTTCAAGGTTCATTCATTGATTATAGAATCGTGTGACTACATAACGTCGAAGATGCGCACGAAGATGTAAAATACGAAGATGTGCGTTTTAATTGCAACATTGACGGATTTTACGCTGACAGTTTTGAAAATTGATGCACTTGTCACAATTTATATTTAGACACTACTCTCATGCATTGTGAAGACACGAAGTCTTATAGATACAGTTTGTATCGCACGACAATTAACTGACAGCAGAAAAAAATCGCAAAATTAGAAAAAAAAAAAATAGTTGAAGCTTTTATCAGCCGTGCGAATCTACGATTAGGCTGTTATGTCACCGAATGTGCTTTCACATGACTTTGATAAAATATATCGTAGATGCATACATGTCATTGGTATGTCCTTTATTTCGACCGTATAGTATGTTATTACCCTTTTACTCTCTGTAATCTATTTTGAAAACAATCTGAATGCTTTATGAAAAAAGGAAATATACTTTTCACTATTGTATAATTAGATAATTACTTTTCCTAGACTGATAACGTAGACTCTTTAATAGCTTCTCCATACATTGATTTTGTATACATCGATTCGACGATCGCGTATCTCAAATATAACTTAGTTTCTTCTTTACTCTCAAATAAACACGATTTTATTGATTACATAATTCATACTTTTACTTTAGCGCTCTATTATCTACTTTTATTCGAACATACGGAGAGCAATTTCGATCTTGCTATTATCGCTTTATGACCAAACCGCCCTTGTCCGATGTACACATATTCTCCTGTTTACTCGAATCAAATCACACAGGACGAAGCGACGAAGTCGGCACAAAACAGATCATCTCGATGCGTTTTTAGGTCCACGAGGCAGACGCGTGTTTGGTACTGGCGAACAAGTACTGTCAGGATCCGGACGCGGAGGACGCGGCGAACATCATGCGCGTCATCTCCATCAAGAACTATTCGGACGACATTCGCGTTATCATTCAATTAATGCAGTATCACAACAAGGTAAATAATCGCTTAAAGAGCGCAATTTAATAAGTTTTAATTTAATAAGTTTTAATTTAATAAGTTTTAATTTAATAAGATTTCTATAAAATGTGCAGGGATCGCAAATTAATATTCCCAAGTTCGATTTAATTTTTGCGTTTTCTCAAAGAATATTTTTTTCTTCGTAACCATACATTTCTTTCGATGCCTATGTTTTTATTCTGCCAACCGAATTATCTTTGTTTTTAGGCCTACTTACTAAACATTCCATCGTGGGACTGGAAGCAGGGGGACGACGTCATATGTCTGGCGGAGCTGAAACTGGGTTTCATCGCGCAGTCCTGCCTTGCGCCCGGCTTCAGCACAATGATGGCCAATCTCTTTGCCATGCGTTCCTTCAAGACGGTCAGTAAATCGATCGTTCTCCGGCAGTTCGCCTGCCGTTTTTTCTCTGTACTCTATGCATGTCTGAACGCAGTTCCTCGTATAGGTATTTGTTACGATCAGGCTGTTCACAGTGATCGCGTAAAAAAATAGAAAAAAAAAAAAAAAAAAAAAAAAAAAAAAAAACAATCAACCAGTCTCGTAACGATCTCAAACCGTCCTATTTGTTGCGAAATCTACTTGCGATCACTCGGATCTGAGCGCACATTTCTTAACAGAACTCAGGCGGATATTTGTTTCTTTCGAAAGACTAGTTCTTTGATGATCGAATCTTCCTCGCGAATATATCGCTGTTCTCTTGCACGCTGTTACACCATCGCGCGGTGTAAATCGGAAGAGAAAACGGCCGGGGGCGATTTGAGAATTTCGATTACGTCACGGTCACGTCACTTTCCGCGTCACTTCTCCGGGAGTTATATTCGGACACACGAGAGCACCTCTCACTGTGGACAAACGCGCACAATCCGTACATGCATAGGAGCGTGTGTGATTTAGAAATGGTTGGTTGATTGGTACCAGTCGCCCGATATGCAGGCTTGGCAGAATGACTACCTGCGTGGAACCGGAATGGAGATGTACACCGAGACACTGAGCCCTACCTTCATTGGAATGCCCTTTGCGAAAGCCACTGAGTAAGTCGGTCCACGGACCAATCCAACATCCAGCCAGATACGCGCATATCTGATTCAAGAGACGGGACATTACGCGCGCACATTTTTTTTTGTACAATATACATATCCGACACGCGGCTAATCCGCCCTTGCGAGTTTAGATTCGTGTTTGCACGAGTAATCTGCAACCCCTCTGTGCTCTCCCTCGCCTCGTCACATCGATGACGCGACTTCTTGCCGCACGCGGCAAGCTCGAGAGAGGCGTGTACGACCCGTCGATATACAAACCGCTGATTCCGTGTCGATACATAATGTTGGTGTTGCAGCGCGCGTGATTATTTTTAATTCACACGCTTCTTCAGTGCCAGTGTGACGTAGCGAACACGTGGCGCGAGCGATCGATTTCGTCTAACGGAGAGGAAATGTAAGGGGAGAATAATCGCGGTCTTTTGCTATTTTTACAAACTTTTTGCGTTGCACGTCGCGCTTTTATGCCGCAGGGGGATACAAAATTAGAAACTTAAATAAGATCATTTTTTCGCGCAAAAGAGAGAAAGAGAGTCGAGTCTTTTTTTTTGTCTTCTCTCTGTAGTGGATTTTGTTACTTTATTCTTTTTTGACGACGATTAAACGATGTGAAAGATAAAATAGTCTCGAGTGTCTGTATTTCGCGTCTCGCGCTAATGTCGCGATTATGTTAACAGAGTCGCTCGAAAAAGTCCATGGTCTCTTGAATCGGAAGGAAAAAAAAAAGATGAGAAGCTTCGCCTCGCCTATGTCTCTCACTACGCTCCACTCCGCTATATATACATATATATTATATATATATATATATACGTAAACGTATATACGTGTATATACACATATACATACGACGCCTCCGCGAGCAATATATATGTGTATATTACGACATAATACATGAACGTGTCTAGTATATATTGTACAAAACCATATATCTGTGCTACACCTAATCGATGTAAACCACCCCTTCATCGCTTCAGTAACGTATCTGTATTTTCACCCTTCTCTCTGCAACTGATATTATACATGTAACTCTGAAAAGACTTGTACTAATGACATCTCGAAATTAACAGTAATCGAAACGGGAAGGAGAAACGACTGAGACGCGATTCGATCTTGTAGAGTTATCAAATTCGCGGTAGCCATCCGGTAGCCTTAATTCTTGTTATGGAGTTTCGTGGCGCGAACCACGAAACTTTCGTAACACTCGGGTAAATATGGTACAGAACCTCCATTTCGCTAACGCTTGGAGTTGCCGGATTCATAGAGCGATCCTTTGAGCTGAGTTTTGTTGCTAATTCCGCCGTGTTTGCGTTGGTTACCTAGGAGAGATGTTCTCTGACCGACGTACGAACGTCCGATTCTCATTTTCGGTATCTGCACAGAGATTTCAAGCGAACGAAAAATAAAATCTCTTTGAAAATATGTTACTCGAATATTAAATATAAGCAAAATATTTTTATTATCTCGACAACAAAATTGCAATAATAATATGATAGGTGAAATATTCAAGTATGAATCCGGAACACTTGGTAAACTCATTATAATTTTATCTTGAAAATTAACTCGGAAAAACTCGATTGAAGATCGTGTTCTCGTCGTTTCTCGTGTCAACGAAAAAGCCGCTCTTAGCAGACTTTCGAGTTCTATTATGTGCCTGCGAAGGGATCAGCGCAATCGAAGAACTCGTGCGCGAAAACGACGTTTGCAAGCGCTCCAACCGGAGGAAGGAAAATGCGGGAAAGACCTTCGATCAATCGATGAATTGCTGAGATTGATAGGAGCGGGTGTGGGTTAGAATTCGGACGAGATCGAGTGTGTGCACTTTGGTATGCACGCGCGACTGAGCGAGTGCATGTGTATGTGTGCGCAAGTGGCTCCTGGAATTTGATCATTACCGTCGGTCGTTCGTTTCGCGACGATGATAATAACTCTTACCTCGGTCGTTCGCCGTAATTGCGAAATGCATCATCGTGCACGATCGTCGTTGCGTCGACACGATGCGGACTGCGGCGCTTATGCGCATTCGGGCGTTTTCCGGCCTACATTTTGCCCTCCCTTCTAGAAACACTTAAGACATATTTCACTAGAGGCATTTAAAATGTTGTCTTCCAGGTACTCTTGCGTCGTCCGGACTTAAGAACTTCTACTGGTCCAAGTAGAAGACATTCCTTAATCAGACTTTTTTACAGAGCTCTTCGTTTGAGGAGCGAGATTAGCGTCGCGCATTGCGTTGGTGTGCATTTTTTTTTTTTCAGACGGAAGCGCATCGATATATGAACGAGATTGCATTTTTTTTGTTTTCTTTTGTTTTCTTTTTTACAAAACGAAATGCGTCCCGTTCTTCCGCGAAGAGTAGCAGCTTTAACAATATTTTCACACAGCTGATACTCTTCGTCGCGAGGGAGAAGGACTTGCGCGTCCACGTAACGGTGGATGATGAAAGTATGATGACGTGCGGCCTGGTTGGTTGGTGTTTCAGTCGCCGGACACACAGGCGTGGCAGAATGATTACCTGCAGGGCACGGGCTGCGAGATGTACACGGAAACCCTCTCCCCGTCCTTTACCGGGATGACATTTCCCCAAGCCAGCGAGTAAGTTCTCGCTGTCAACGGCTGTCACACACGTAACCATTACCGACAACAAGACAACGTCAGTCACGCGAACACACACTGAACACGTTACACGTTACATGAAATTGACAACCATACGGACCCATTCGTGTGAATGGAAAAAAAAAAGGAAACATATTATGGAAATTTATCAACACAAAGTACACTCGGTCACAAATTTCTTTTCTGTCTTTTTTTCACTCTTTTTCTATCTACTTTTACATCTATATTTATATTCGCCTTTTATACCTTCGTCTCACGAATTATTTAAATACACTAAACAGTCCCGATATCGAGACGTACATACATATATATGTACCTACATTACATTACATATCTAATACATATCTATACTTGAGAACGTATATACATCGCCCCTCACCTCGGTCTTTTTAGCCTTTGAACGATTTTCTTTAACTTTTTACTATAGTCTCTATTACATATATACGTCTTTGTCTACTATTTTTATCTTTCTTTTTTTGTTTGGATTTTGCGTAGAGTAGTTCAGTTTTTGAGCTGTACGAGTCTATTATTTCTCTCTTTCGTTATTTTGTTTTTCTTTTTCTTTCGACCGAACCCCAGCCTATATTTTTTCCGGCCATTTTCTCGTGCTGCTCGAAATTCTGCACAGACCTTTGTGAATTGCGTAGAAATGAAGTAGAGATACGAGATATCGCGGACGAATGCGGACCCTCCTCGTGGCAGTCACGGGGAAAGCAAAAGTTGCGGTCGATCGCGCTCGGTATAACTGAGGCCGCCTGATTGGCAACGAGGGAATCGGAAACAAAAGTGTTTTAAACGTTCGACCTCGGAAATTGCTGGAAATACGGGGCGCACGCGATTTGCGTGTGCGAACGACAGCGCGTGATTCCGAAAATGTTATATCGGGCGAACGACATGACGACCGTGTCGCGACCGCCGAACCGTGGTGTCTCTGTATTCCAAACATCGTTTTGCAGAACAATTGATATCGGGATTGGAACTGCGCGTGGCTTAATCCTTTCACAGCTCGATTCGTTTACCGCGACCCATGCGAGTCTTTTCCTGCGTTTTTTAAACTAATTTTTCTTGCTTGTTTTTATTCCGTTAGTGTTCACGTCTGCGTTAAATGTTTCTGACATATGTTCTAAATTCTAAAAGACCGCATTTTACCGAGGAGAATTAAAAACGATGTTGGAAACAATAAAGTTAATTTAATTTTTTTACATCAACTTTTTCTTTCATCGGATATTTATCATTGTTGAAATTGTTTAAAACGTTAATTGTACATTATTTGAAATTAAGTCGCGTTGCGAAGAAAGTAATTAAAGAAACTCGTAACGTTCGTGTATGTTAAATGTCACGAAAATGACTCGATTTTGTCGGCCTTGAACGTTTTAATCTTAAATCGACGCGAGCACGACACATCCGCGGCATAACGTGACCGACAGTCATTTTGAGTTCTAATTACTTGCGAACAGACTGCGTGCACAATATCCGCATTCGTCCCGATAAATCGTGCATCCCGCTTCGATTACATCACAGTTTTTTTGCGGCGCAACGTGAGACGAAATGAGAAAGAACGCGCGCGCGCATTATTGTGAGAAATCGATCAAAAGACATATGCGATTTTATTGACAGAAAAAATTTTCTGTCAGAAAAAATTCTTTTTCCGAAGAAAGCTTATACACAGACTCTTTTTTGACGAAACATAAACGGGCAAGACTTTTGTCAATTTTTGTTTTCAAGTCAATAACGTCCGTATTCTTGTCATGGTGTGTGTTCTCTTAGATGTAGCGTTCTAATCTTCTCTTAACAAAACGCGTTCTTTGTACACGCATGCCTGCTGCTCTTTTTTTTTTACCAATGTGTACAAATATGTGGAAATACTGATTCTTGTAACACAGGTAGAAGTGTACGGGTGGATATTGATCGTGGCTGCCGATTGAACAGTAAATATTTCATTAGAACGCACTGTTTCGTTTAACAGATAACTTTAATATCGAGTTCGCAGTTTCTGTCTTGACAAAAGTTATCCGGGGGTAACATCATATATATACGTGGGTGTCGCGCTTCTTGCGAACACTAATAACGTTTTGTAGATAACTGCTCGCTGATACTGGGACACACGCACACAAAAATTAGTTGTTGTATCTGTATAGTTGCGTACATTCAAAATTGATTACATGGTGATTTCATACAAATACGCTGCATATATGTATAAAACACAAAATAGATATATGCAGAGTGTATGTAGAAAATGCTTACAATGTGTATAATGAAAATTTATTTGGTGTATTTTATACAATAACAAATGTTTGTTTGAATGTTATTTGAGTGGGAACGATCGGAATATATGTAAGCATTTACGAGGAAGTCTACATATACGATTTCATTTTATCGATTATAGATATAAATAAAACAATTACATATCGTAAAATAAAATTTTACACTTTAGAACACACACATACACACACACACACATAGTAAAAATATGCAATATTTATATTATCCTATATCGATATTATTGCTAACATTTGTTACCGTGATGTCTCACGACAAAATTGTCTTACATTCGAGAGAACCGTGAAATTTTCAAGGACGAAGTAAACGTATTGTTTTATTAATAATCCTTTCTCAGCCGTCTGAATATTGCACCGTATTTTGCCTATTTACCACGACCTGCATCGCGCCGATCTTCGATTTCCCAATTTTGCTGTAATTTTCAAGATCGGCGAATTGCGGTCGCTATTTCCGCGAGACATTAGAATATAGAAAATAGCTATGTGAATTCTTCGACTTTTCTCTTTTATTTATGCGCACACTTGGATTGTCGCCATTTGATTTGCGTGTATGAGAGATCTATTTGTAAGAAGTGACTTTATATACACATATATTTATTAGATACTATAGATATATACCTAGAAATACTTTTCTCTCTCTCTCTCTCTCTCTCTCTCTCTCTCTCTCTCTCTCTCTCTATGTACATCGTATACAATTGTATACATATAAAAATGCTTTGTCGAACGTCAGCTAATCCGTAGGATCCTTACACGGAAACGCAATTGGACCTCTCCCGAATATCTTCTGGGACTTTGAAGTAGATTAAGAAAAACTTAGAGCGTAATATATATAGATTGAAAAGAAACTCTGTTTTTTCGATCTATCTTGGCATGTTTCGGCTCGTATTATTATTAGATAAGTAATGATTCGTTTACGTAATTACTCCCTTGCACGATTGCTTGAAGTTACTTCATCGGTGTATGTATCGGTGCATCGCTTGCGTAATTGCTCAATGTTATCACCGAGGTGATATAACGAAGGCGTTGATATACACAATTAGATAAAAGTAGAATTTGGTCTGTCTTAGATAAAAATAAATAATACGTAAATTGTGTGTGATCAACGTCCTGTTACACTGTAGGTGAACACACACGTATCTTAATATCTAACACATATTCGAGAATGAACGAAGAGCATAAAGTATTAAACACAATGATATCGTACAAACGTGAAAAATACATTGTACACATGTAGTCAGTTTTTATTTGCCGTGTTTTAAGCATGAAAATAAAAATACTTTATGTGCTATCCGTTTGCATTCAACGCATTTTGTGGTGCAAACAATGAAACTTGAATTTGCATGCGGTTCTTATATACTTTTTATATACACTTAAGAGAACAATATATATATTTGCTTCAATAAAATTGGAACAAAAATTGCTTAACATAATAAAAAGAAACACGAATTTAAGTTTCATTGTTTGTTTAACGCATACGATACTGAGTTGTTTTCAACTTGCTATGATTCTGAAATTTTGTTATTTCTTTGCAATTTAAGTTCAAGGATTTACTTATAAAATATTATTACATTTTATACGCACATTTTATACGTAGTTTACACACAACTCATTATCTCTGCAGTACTTTTTGTTGCTTAATCACAATCAATAATCATTTTTTTTTTGTGATACAATATTTGTCACGTTCGTAAATGTGTAAAAACGAGCAAAGTGTACGCAGACTTTCTGTTAGCTTTGATAATATTCAAACAGTATGCTCTCGCGAGGCATCGAATATTACGCATGACTTCGTCGTAGGTTGTGCTTCACGAAACTGAAGCTCCTGCTACTGGCCATCGAGATAAAGGGCGAAGGAGGCTCCGACAGTAAGATCTCGATTAACCCACGTGGTGCCAAGATCGCTGCAAATACTCAGGGATTCTTCATTGCTCAATCTGCTGACGAAGTGAAGCGGTAAGAACGATCAAAACATTTCCAATGAAACGTGTCACGTTTCGTTATTTATATTTCTCTTTATTCGTGCGCCGTTTTAATTTGATCTCCCGCAACACGTTTCCGTAATCAGATATATTTTTCGAAATTCCCTACAAAAAATTAACGTTTTTTTCTCTGTGTTTTTTATTTTGCAGAGCGTGGTTCTATTGCAAAGCATGCCACGAGGAAATTAAAGACGAGACTCTGATCAAGAAGTGCAAGTGCAAAAATTGTAAGTCTTTCTAGCCCAGTGATCCTTTTAAAAAACAGCCTTTTTCTTGCCAAATTTTCTGCTATAAACGATATATACATANATATATATATATATATATATATATATATATATATATATATGTATATATATATTTTCTCTTACCGGTTTTACCATACATATATACACGGGAAAAAAAGATTTGCTAGAATAGCAAGAAATTCGTTACTATATGGCCAGCAAAAAAACATTTGTTAAGTTTAGTAAAATTTTTGTTTTGCCAACAAAACATTTTGTTGATGAAACAAAAAATTTCGTAGGGTCAACCATTTTTCTTGCTGACCATATAATAGCAAAACTTTTTTTTCCGTGTACTTATATCTATATGTTCTAATCATATAACTGTACACAGATGTACATAGAACGCGCTCGATATATCTGATCGGTGGTGAATAACATATTGCGAGTCGCACGCGCGCGGCGGTTTTCGTTACATTTCTCTTTCTCTCTTTCTTTCTTTCTTTTTCTCTTCGTCAATCAAGATACTTGTGACGGAGTGTTGCAATTTGCCACCGGTGTGACTCGCAAGATTATATTAAATGTCTCTCCCGATACGTATATAAAATAACAAACGTACAAACGCGAGCGGATCACGTAGAAAGCTCTCTTTATCTTCAACCCTCCCTCCCCTCAGGCTCATCTCACCCGGTTTTTTTGCCGGCTCACCCTTATTTTGCCCTTTGTCCGTTTGAGAGCGATAACAGTAATAAACTGCGACTATGATTAACGAAGTGACATGGTTATGACGATCCTATTGTGGTATATGATCTAGTGGGGCAGCAGCAGCGCTCCTGGGGCCGGGACTTAGGTAACGTCTCACACAAAACTCGTTCGTTAAGTCTAATACTTTACTATCATCTGTGACACTATCTCTCTCTCTTTCTCTCTCTTTCTCTCTGTCTCTCTCTCTCTCTCTCTTTGTCTATTTCTTTTTAACGTCTTGATTTTAATCTTCTTACCCTTTTTAATACACGATTTCTGGCTCTTGACCCCTGAACTCTGTCTCTCTCATTCGCCCAACATCAACTAACAACTCTACTACTCATCGCCATTTTGAGTGTTTCTACTTGTTCTTGCCTTTCTGTATACTTTTCTGCATTTTTGTATTGAAACTCTGTCTGTTTCGCGCCTCTTTGAGAATATTCTGCCCTTCTCTGTTTCAGTTTTTTTGTCCCCCTCTTTCTACTTCTCTCTCTTTGTCTTTGTACTTTTTTCTTTCTCTCTCTCTCTCTCTCTCTCTCTCTCTCTCTGTGCCCTATCGATACATACACGCCTCTGACATTGATCAATCTCTTGCAAACCAAGGTGATCATTATGAGGATGATTATCTTAATGACGATAATGATCGATATATGACGATAATTGCATCTTTTATTTCTCCATTGCAAGACGCCCCCAAGGCGATGCTATACAATCGGGTGTTTCTTCATTTTTCATGTCGCTCAAAGAAATAAACAAAACAGAACGAAAGTTGCGCGCATATTTTTTTTCAAATATGCGATATGTCAATAAAAGCCCATCGGATGAACAAGCGTATTGCCGCGCGATTCTAGTGGAAAATTCATTGCATATTTAAATCGAAACGGATACAATTGCTTTTTGTAACGCACGTTGAATGTGATTCATTCAATTCGCCGCGCGGAAATTTATACGCTCGCGCTCTTGGTCGCGCGAGAAGCGATGTGAAAAATGAAGTACCGAGTCAACACGTAATTCCCGATAGTCCAGTCAGTTGGCGCATGTCCACCTGACCGAGAACGAAAACTAGTCTGCACTGAACTATAGTGTGTGCCCCTCTCTCGCTCGCCTCGCATGCATGACTAGCTCCCGGATTCGGATCTGTTTTACGCCATTACTGGTAATGACAACAGCTTTTTTCTCTCAATTACACACTGTGAACTCTAACACCGCCCTCTTTACCTCTCTTTCTCTTTCTCTTTCATCTTTTCCGAAACTTTTCTTCAGGCGTGTGTCAACTCTCTCTCTTTCTCTTAGTTTTCTTTTTTTCTCTTCGTTCTCTCTCTCAGCGTGCTAGCTGTGCCTCATCGACGAGATCTCGATCGGTTGGCGATCGAGATCGACGCACACACGATCCACGTATGGCATTTTATCTGCGCGCGATTCTCACGTTCGCCGATCGTTTTTCTCGTTGTCTTGAATTTCGTCGTGAGAGATTGGGATCGTTTGGTGGTGCGTCGACGGCAGGAGCGTTTCCGTCCGTTCCACAAACGAGTGAACGACGACCGCCGTATTGCCGGTCGCCCGTTCAAACACATCGGGGAGGGGGGGGGGGCAGTAGACCATAGAGTCTCGATCTCTTCATGGAGACTCTCCCTCTCTTGATTCCGACAATTCCGTTCATGTCACGCGCGACATACCGTATCGAGGCGTTACACTACTAGTACACAAGCCATGTAACACAAGCCATAGCCACATAATTCTCTCTCTCTATCTATCTCTCCCTCCCTCTCCCTCTCTCTCTCTCTCTCTCTCTCTCTCTCTCTCTCTCTCTCTCTCCTCTTTCTTCCTCTCCCCGAGCGGGAACTTATCGCTCAACCAATCACACAATCAGTCCGTGTCCATATACAGGAACGGCAATACCCTAAACCCTGGGCAATCAACGTTTCCCGGTACTCGGTGTTCCCCTCGAGTACCGAGCGATCTGAAATGTCGATCAAATTGCAACCGCAGTGTTAATCCGATTTTAGGTTTTCGGGGAAAATCCGCCGATTGATGAGGAAATGCCGGAGGTAAACTTGCGACGAGCCGAGCTTAATTTACGTTTTACAGCGTTGCGTTATGTATTACTCTGGATGTGTCCCCCGTTTGTTATATATACGTTAAATATACGTTATTGTGACTAATATATTGCCATGTGCGAATTCGTACGTGGACCGACGCGGCAATTTTGCGTTCCGTCGTCGTTCTGTTTTGACGCATAATTGCACCAGATCAATCGGAATATGAACTCTCGAACGGTATGTTAATTTATTGAAATCTGTCGTAGCGCGCTAGTAAATATATATTTTTTTTGTATCGAGCATATTTACATTCGCGATACATGAAAGCATTTGCAATTCCATTGGCGCGCACGTACACATACGAATTCCGTCAAAGTTGAGTTATTAAAAAAACCGTACACGTCGTGAACGCAGAGAGATATTCACGTTTTTATTCCTCTCGTATACACACACCGTGTACTACTGTTTGTTCATTTTTAAACCCGTGTCTGGGTCGGTCGCTGTGGATGCTTGCAGATGTTGGGATGATGATGATGCAGACCGGCATGGTGAAGGGAAACACTGCCTACAGCAGTTACCTCGACGGTACGCCTGTTCCCGCGACTTTCTCCTTTTGTCCTTTATTCCATAAAAAAAAAAAAAACCACGTCCACCTGTCGCAGTTGCTGCGACACTTTGTCAGCGTGAACAGGATCGATTGTCTTTAATTGACAAAAATCTTCTTTTGTTGCTATTAAAATTGCTGATATAATATATATTCGTATCCGTTATTCTGACAAAGTGCGTTCTGCCGGAACTTATAATTTTTCTCGCCCGTCTACCGAACTATCGCGATAGAACTGCACATTGACGCAAATGCATGACTTAAATATATACATCACGTACCACTGTATATCCGCGATACATTACGAAAAATACAACGCCCGGCAGAGCCAGGTCAACCTCCCGATATGTAACGAGGTAAGATGGCGTAAGTGATACTAACTATGCATTGGTCAGACCGGCGGACTATTCGTTTTCACTTACCGCGTGCACTTACACCACAGTACCCGTATTTGTTCGATGCTCTCCTCCCACTTGATTCGTTCGATTATGTATTACATATTTATTGTTGAGCTTTCGCTAGAGCTGATGGTATTTACATGAATGAAATTATCGAAAGCATCGTTTTCTGATATATATTTACATACAGCAGCATATAACAATTTTAACAGTAGCACTAACGTTGTTGGCTGCTTCCTTTCTCCTTTGACACCTAGGACTCCCGGGGGATTTTGAAGTAACCAAGCACGCCGATTGGACAAGCGGACATCGCAAATTGATTAATTTATATTTTGCATAACGTTTAGCTTTTGGTCCGTATCACACAAATTTGTATCGATATGTGGTCTCGCTTACCGCGCGCAGATAAACGCATTCTCTTTGCACGTTGCCGAGCCCGTGCATTTTGTGTCCTCACGTTCAAATGGCTGCCACCACCTAAAAAAAACACCAATCGAGACGAGTTTGCTCATATCGTATTTTCAGGCTTGCTAACGATTATCGTTATTTAACTTGTTGTTTCAGTGTGCTTACGTGGAGTATTATTGATAATTTAACTTTGTTGCGTGCCAGTTTCAAATTATCGCGCAATATATCGGTTTATTCATATCGCGCGCAGCATAATGTTCACTCTACCTCTCTCCTCTCTCTCTTTCTCTCTTTCTCTCTCTCTCTCACTCTGTCTCTCTCTTCTTTCGCCCCGAACCGCCATTGTTGCGTCAAATAATCGGCACGATTTGAAACTGGGACGCCAACGTTTTTGTAGGTGTATGTACACACACACACACACACATATACATATATATATATATATAAGGTTGCCCAATATCATATATTTTGAACATATACCTACATTTCTTCTTGTAGGATAAATTAACCGCAATCGACAGTATTACCTTAGGTCACCTTATATATGTATATCTATTATGTAAAAATATGCATTGGTTTTTGCACAGATCAAACGTTCTTCGTGAGATAAATATTTATTTATTTTTCGTTTATGTGAGACTTGAGTTTAATACACAAATATTAGTAAAAATACAAATATGGAAAATATATTAAAATATTTTTAATATTTGAACTCCCGAAGAACGTTTTGTTATTATATTTGCATAATAACTATAATTAATCATTGTGAAATGAAGCTACTTCAGCAATTTTTTCTTTTGATCTATAACGCCAATTGCAGTACAAATTAAAAAAGTAGATTATTAATTACAAAAGTTTTTACTGCCATGTTTGCGAGTATGTGGATTTTTACAAGTTGAATTTTTATATATTTCTTATATTTTCTAAATTTTATCATATATTATAGTTGATATATATATATAAGTAATTTGCAGGTTTACTGCATTCTGATTACATATCTTTTTCTTATTCTTATGTAACTTGAAACTAATTTAAGGACTAGGAAACAATCTATCAGAAATGCGTTATTAAATATACGATATTGATCTTTTATGTTCATGCACGTGTAATTCCGTTTCCGTGATATAGTTTCAATGTCGCTAAGTGCGGGTGATTAATTGGATTCAGCACGCAACCAGAAAAAGCACCAAGACGTAAGCTTACCATGAGCTTATACAGCTTACAGGGACGATGATAATCGATGCCCAGGGTTTATCGAACACATCGGCTAAAAATACTTCATTCCCCCCTTCACATATCGAGCATATTCGACACCACTCGCCACATCACAACAATAACAGCGACACACACACACACTCTCTCTCTCTCTCTGTCTATCTTTTTCTCTCTCTCTCTCTCTCTCTCTCTCTCTCTCTCTCTCTCTCTCTCTCTTCAGATAACTTTGTGTGCACCGCTAATCGTATTTTGCGAGAAAACGTTTTTTCAATACGAGGTATTCCTGAATATGAAGTTTCAACCGCACACACATTCACACATACGCACACCACAACGCCGCAGATATATAATCTTTTGTGTTACGACCCTCACCGTAAGCCGAAGTAAATTATGCAATGGTTCTAACATCAGTGTGTTAATAATAAATCTCTCCATCGAAGGTCACGTTGCAATGAACCGCGATTTCGAAAACGAATCGGGAATGTATATTTGCGATCTTTTAAATTTACATAAACCAAACTCGCGACAGATTGTTTTCGCGATTTATTTTCATTTATATGATTTTTTAAAATTATTTTTTACGTATTCTAAACACACGTCTAAGTTCGTTAAACATTAAGGTAAAATGTTAAAAATTTATAATTAGTAAGTTAAATTAAATATTACTTCGAAAAGTCAGATCGAGTGGAGAAAATTCAGAGATGAGATATGGACGTTTTTTAACATCCTTATCTTCACGAGCTTCAAGATCAGACACTCGCACTGAATACTAAACGTGACATATCGATCGGGACCACGGATTTAGACCCCTACACCCGTTGAGACCCCCGCATCTAGGTTGACATTGTTTTGGTGTGACAACTAACAGCTCTGGTTCTCCTCCCTTCGGGCAGTGGCCACATTCCGGAAAGGCGTTCGGGCTGTTCAAATGGTTGGAAGAGCAAGTACGTATCCCCCGTGTATAGACTGTGTACCAAGCGTAATTTTTTTTTTTTTTTTTTTTTTTAATCCCGATGCAAAAATTTATGAACGGGGTGTGATTACAAAAGAAAGAAAAAGAAAAACCTCACAATCGAACGGCACGGCCTTTAATTCGATAGAAACGTCAATATTAAAAAAATTAAACATTTATGAAATGATAAATAAAAATTAGAAAACTAATAAGTGCAAAAATGTTACTCATTTATGTAATTTAAATCCGATTGTTTTAGTCTTACAATAACGTAACTTTGTTACATCATTATCAGATTATTAGTGTCAATCGGGAGAATAATTGAGATTTAAAGGTCATGTCTGTGTGAGACAATTCTATAATACAATTAAATCATTCACTTGAGTAATATACTTTTTCAAGAAACAAAATTTTTGCTCTGTATCTTTAAGTGATTTAATGATAAGGCCTTGATGATTACAACATATGTGTGTGCTCTTTCTTCCTTTTTCTTCTTATATATAATAATTATATTTACATTTTACACACAAAGTAATAAACTCCATCATCTATGTTTTTATTCTTTTTTTGTAATTTTTTTTTTTTTATCAAGGCCTTTTTGTCTACAAATAGTTTTGTGATAAACGACAAGTTAAAAAGAAAAGTTACTGTCTACATCTGCAAGAAGACTAGCACAACGCGTGCGATCATCATAAACAGATCTTTTTGTCGTTCTAGATACTTGCACTATTACTTGGCTTATGTTTTTCTTGGCAAATTTTGTTAATTAAATAATAAGAGAAAACGTAACGTCGTTGTGCTAATCTGCCAAAGTTCGTTCGGATTGATAAGTGGTTCCAGCGTAGAACGTCGTTAGTGTTTGAGTCCCTATTTTGATGTGGTGTTCTTAACTATTTTTTGCAACCGAGACTTACACTACTATCTCTCAGTGTCGTTTTGAATGTAGTCTTTTTTTTTGAAAGTGTGTCAGTGTTATTTAAATGGTTTAATTGTTGTGAGTGACTCATGAAAATTAATTTAATTCGATTGAGAACCGGCGTGATGTGACTGTCTTATATAAACTTACCTCTAATTAACCTTTGCATCGGTGTTCGATATTTATAATAACTCGACGTGTAATTAGAAATATACTTTAGATTTAGACCTTTTATTTATTACGTGGATTTTTACTCGCGTTCTGTGGCAGAAACAATTAATCATTGAATACCGAAAAATTCCCGTAACGTCGTTGTAGTCTGACACTGCTTTGATATTTCTCATAATTTCATTTTCTCAACGTCATACAACAGTTATAAATATTATCACTAATTGGTAAATGGAATACCTGTGTATTTCAAAAAAACAGTTCGCAGAACACTCGTTGAACTCGCGGCGTTAACGTCACGACGCTATAACGGTGATGTTCATTCGCGTTATCTCGCAATCGGATGAGTGTTATTTACGTATTGTATTGTAATAACACACGCACGTGTCAACGAGCGTTTTGTGCTAAAAAAAACACACACACATATTGGCTATCGGAGCAGCTTCGCGAAAATTCGTTACCAAGCGCGCGCGCGAAAAGATCGATGAAACGCTGGCGACCGCCTGTTACTCCGATCGCCATGCCACTTTTTTTTCTCTTTTCGGAAGCAGATCGGTGTTTGCCGGTTGTATAAGCACCAAGTCTTTACGATGTTTTAGCTAGACGTGAGCGATGCGCGCGTAAGTGAAGTAAAACAGACGTCAACTGATTTAACACACTCAAAACTTTCCACTCGTCGTCACTTGCATCGCTCATTTGAGAGCCACCCGTGAGAAACATCATATTGCATTAAGTGTCAAAAGTACTCCACACACACATACACACACACACATGTACACACGCATATACATGTAAATTCACATATTTACGCGATAAAGCAAATACACGCCTTCACATACACAACATATACGCGCGCGCACGGGCTCACGACACAAAATCCGCAAGCCAAGACTCTTTTAACTAACCTCTGTATATGTGTCTATCTGTCCGAACTATCTTCTCTTCGTCTCCTCTACTACCGCATAGGTGAAGACCTCTCGTACTACGCAAGTAAGTCCAGCCAAAGCGCGGGTGTATATTGTAACGTTTTATCTATACATATATATATACATATGCATCTACTTCTTTGTACATATAATATGTTGTTCCACGCCAGCCGCGGCCGCGTTCATGAAGCGAAGGCGCAATTTAGAATAATATCTGCGAGAGACGCACGCATCACGCGTTGCAACGCGTTCGTAGAAAAGCATAGGCTAAAAACAAAACGCGAGACGTACTATCGAGTTTTACAAAGCAGTAACAACCAAGCTGTAACCACCGCCGCAGGCGCTACTGCCGATGAAGCGTACCACCTTTTGCACGTTTTCTTCGAACATACATTCCGCTTGAACTATCCCTCATTTTCCAATCCGCTTGATCTTACGAGCAAACAGATCGAATGAGACTGATCGGGTTGCATAATAGAACCGATTGCGTTTGATCGAACACATTTTTCTCAAACACGACTCCGATATACTATGCGGAGCGCTCAATATCGAGTCGCGAAAAGTAGACTATTATACGATTTCATGAAAAATTCTGCAAATTTTATACGACATTTGCTTCGAGTTGAAATAAGAAAAGAGAAACGTAGTGAAATAATACCGCAAAGAGAAGGATATTTCTCTTTGTGATATTTTATAAAGGTTTGTTTCTTTGAAGTATAATGTTTTTCGCGTTGTACGTACAAGAATGTGTTTTCATATTCCGTCGAGCGCGAGATACGTTTTATCGCATAACTCGATTTATCGATTGAAGCCGTTCTCTCTCTCTCTCTCTCTCGATGATATCCATTTATCATCTTCCTTCCAAGAAAGTCAGGAAGTCCGCAATTTCTCGGTTTATGAACAGCGCGCAAGAGGGAGGAAGGGAACGAAGAATTGCACTGCGCGCGCGATTATCAAGAACGCTTTCTTGGAAGGAGCGTGCCAAAGAGAATTTTACACTTTGACTTTTCGAGCGAGGAAACGAAAGGCATGTTTATATGGCTTTTCTAATTAGTGTTATTTTGCTCAATGGGCCTCGAGTAACTGCGTATAAAGGAAAGGTTTCACACGTGCAATAATTGTCTTTTTGCAATAATTTTTCTGTACACCGGTCGGTCTCTCGATGTTTGTTCGAACCGAGACACAAACGGTCTCTTCCTTCTTTCTCTCTTTCTCTCTTTCTCTCTCTCTCTCTCTCTCTCCTCTCTCTTTCTTTCTTTCTTTCTCTCTCTCTCGTCTTATCATCGCGCGAGCAAGTACCACGTTAGAACCTAAAGAAGAAGTCTCCCTTTTCCTCCCCCTGCTTTCAGTAGAAGAACTCTATAATCTTTCATGCACCCTTTCAATATATACTTTCCGTGCTTTTGCAAAAGTCTTTGTCGTTTTGCACGTGAATTCTCTTTCCTGCCTCCCTTCCTTCGGAGGATGCAAAAGCGCACACTGACAATGCCGAGTAAATATTCACTGTAAAGTCGTATTACTGCATGCTTCTTAGAACACGATACATCATGGCGTAAGTGGAGATGACACGATCGCTCCGCTCTCCCTCTTTGCTTTGTGCGTTGAGATAAAAAGTAAGTAAAGATCGCTTCGTTCGCGCGCGGCTTGACACCCTTTCTTCACTTGCGTCATCTTCGGCATGAATTTCAAGACTTTTTGAGCATACTGCACGTTTACGATCGCACAGATCGATCTCAGTATCGTGTCGTAAAAGCGTTCCCGCAACATGGACGAAGCCGCTTATTAATTTTGTTCAAATCTCGTAAAACACCCTGTTGTTTGTATATATTCGTCCACGTTGTTGCTGTATTACTCGTTGTTTTTAGAATTTTAAACTTACACACTTGTCTTCTCCACAGTTTTAGTTATAGAAAATATTTTATTAGCGACACACTCTGAAAAGGCCGTTTCAGCTTGACATCAATTTAATATTTATTATATAAATATGTAAATTTAACGTGCAACAGCTTGTATAATGGCAAAAATCAAAATTTAATGCTTCTATATTTTATGCAGATATTTTAGCGCAAGGTAAGCAAAAATCATTTTTATTATTTTTGCTCGGCAAGCAAATCTATTGTAATTGAAAACAAAGTTAAGTTAAAATATGTACATCGTCATGCAAGACGCTGAAACGGAACTTTGCTTCTAGACGTTAAATCGCAGATTTAGTACTGTCGAACGATAGAGTAGCAACTATAGGCCTTAGGTACTTAGTTAGGGTAGCTAACATGTGTAGTGGTTTGTTACAGACGACCACCATCCTCCTCCCACATTCACTCCGCCAGAACTGCCCAAGATGGTTCACGTAAGAGGTACAGTTACACCTCAATCAAAAAACCATGCTATCAATCTCGCAAGCTGCCCTTTCTAATTTCGATCGGCAATATATACGACACGAATACACTGACGAAAAGTCGCTTGATAAGATTAGCAAATCGAAAGTTTAGCTTGTAAAAAAAAAAAAAAATAAAAAAAGTCACTGCTCTCAACTGACATCGAAAATTCGATCTTCCGCATTTGATACGCTTCGTCAAACACGCTTGAGTGAGATTTCTTACTACGTTTTCATTTATACCGGAATTTTTATTGAAATTTTAAAATGCGTTATATTTTACACGCATTTGGAGAAAGTGGAAAATAGTTTAAAACTCAATGAGGTGTCATAAGTATTTGCTCCCTAATGGCGAACGTTCGTATATATTTATACACATATTCTTGTATGTTCTACTTTCTCCATTAAATAACACGTGCATGCAGCTCTCTTTCTGATAGATTTAAAATTGACTCACATTTTTTTCTCGTTATTTTATTTTTCAGCACAAGTTTAGTGTACATTAAGAAATTATTATTTTAAGTTTTGTGTTATCTCCTTATCACACATAAAATTTTTATTATTTTCTGCAACTTGCGAAATATAAGACATTATTTTGTTTTATATTTCTAAGTTTTGGTAAAATAATAGATTGCACACACACAAACACACACACACACACACAGAGTTTTAGCATAGTTATACTAGCACACATATCTAGTAGTTTTATAGAATTTAATTTTGGAATTATTTACTTTGCTTTTTTCATAGATAAAATTATTAATACAAAATGTAATTGACTATTAATTAATTGTTTGGTGAGTACTTATTATTTTAAAGTAGAATTATATTTTGCGACGGACCGTGCGTATCATATTTAAAAGCGTTGCTGTAATTGTTTATCATTCTAATAATTACCATAGAATATTTTGTAATATACTTATTTATACGAGTAATAAATATTATCACAGAAAAAGTTTTAAAAAATATTGCTATGAAACAAATTTAAAAGGTGATTACATTCATATAATTCAAATGATCAGAACATTTATTGGTGCTCGTCTGCGTAAGTAGTAAATCTCGTTCTTAATTGTATAAGCGTTTCTCATACTTTCATACTTAATTAGGGTCTTAATAAAAGAATAAAATAATATAAAAAATTAATTAATTTTGAAATGTATTTTTTTATTTTTTATTTAATTTTTTTCTTATGCACATTTAGCATAATAAATTATATGGATTTAATTTGCTGAGTCACAGTATTTTTAACACAAGTTTGAGAAACGTTAATCGATAACCCAAGTATCTTTTGCTAAATTAATTTCTTCCTTTTGAGATTTGTGTGTATCGTAAATATAGAAATTTCTATCTCTTACATTTTTTTTAGAATATTACTTGTTCTACAATTGAGGATCGTTGATTTTTGTTCGTTGAAACGATACTTTGTGACGCTTTTCAGATCGATATCTTGTTGCTTACAACTGTACAAAACTCAATTTATAGATGTAGACAGCACGGTAGATTAAGAATAATTTCTCATATGAAGATATTTAAGTTTGACAACACCTGGCAAATATTCTATGTACACTTTATAATTTTTTTTTCTTTTTATCATTGCAGAAAATGATTGTTCAAGATACTACTGCGACAGGCGCCATATGTCATTTCTCTAATTAGCATTGTCATAATTTTTAATCGTTTCTAAAGTGAATTTAGTTACACAATTCTTATAAGTAAATGTTCTTGTGTTATAATTTAATTTCACTAAAAAGAAAAACCTCTACGTTTTATTTTATATTTAATAAAATAACCAAAGAGTGGCAAAAAATTAACGTTCAATTCTTTTATAATGTTCAAAATTGTAATTGAATTTTAATAGCTTTATTATTACACACAAAAGGCGCTCCTAATTTGATTGGTGCAATTAATTAATCCATTGCGTACATGTGAGACACATATGAAGTGAAGTATGCACGCCTGTCAGCATGGGGATTATTATCACGGCTTATTATCACGGAAGTAATACACGCAGTAATGGGGGGAGTCACACGGTGTGGCATTTTAATTGTCTTAACTTTTGTTGCTTTGCCCAACATTGACGGTAAATGTCCGGTGCTCAGATTTCGAATTAACACTGTCTTATCCATTTTAGGTGAAATCCGTGAACGAGGAGATGATCCAAATGGTAAGCTTTTTTTGTAATTTGCGAGTTTGCATTTAATGTTTTATTGATTTTTTTCATTGATCATCGATGATGTCAATTGTCTTCTATCCTCGTAGCCTTGAGAAATCATCGGAACTCCGTCGGGATGCCCATGATGAACTCGACGAAGCAGATCAACAAGGTGAAGCCGAATGTGAATCGAGCGACGAACGACAGCCTTTCCAGTCCGAATCAGCCGTATAATCAGAGGTATCTTAATTATCCCGCGCGTTATGATTTCATCATCATCCAAAGCATCCATCATCCGTAAACATCATCACTTGCATTGTCAATATTCTGTACAAACAATATACATTCTCATTCATAATCATTAATGAAGCAAACTACTCTCGTTAAAATGTCCCTGTTTTGCATCCGATCAAAGCACACAACACGTGCGAATTTCACTACTGAGAATTACAACAAAAATGTAAGAAAAACTATCTTTTCGGAAATTAGTTCGGGAATCTTTATTATTATTTTTTATTTGTATTACACACTTTGTGGACTCTTAACAGTGCACTCGACATTTAATACACACTATGAACATTGATATCGCTTTCCTTCAAGTCGCTTGAAACCAGGGACTTAATACCGGTATGATTTCAATACCGGTATTATACTAGAGATTGTATACCGAAACCGATATAGTACCGAAATTGAGTCTTACCGTTACCGTTATAGTACCGAAACCGATA